TGGTGTTTTCTTTCATTGCTTTAAGTTTTTTTGTCCATAGCAGCAGCAGTAACTGCTTCTAGAGCTGGTTTTTCCATCTAAATAACTGGTTTGTGGCTTTGAGCATGCTCACCTGTTGCTAAGCAACTTGGAGAAATCCCAAATGACACTTAATTATGCAATCCCATTAACTATTGACCAGACCTTTAATTTCCAGCAAAATTGCTGTTTGCCACATTTGTGTTGTGTTGTGCTTGGATACAGACCCCTCTTTTCTGTGTAAGCTTCTCCTGCTGTTTCTTCAATTTCCAAAAAGCCTTTTTAAGTTAAGGGATTCACTGATACCAAAATGAGGGAGTGGGGTTGTGTGGAAAGTTTGATAATCTGAAATGATGTTTTGGCACCCTGTAAACTCCACCAGTTTGTAGAGGTGTAAGGAAGGAGTGGAGTTCAGATGTGAGTAGCCAAAGGATAAGGGCTGAACTGTGTGTAGTATTCCACTCAGGACTAGAATGCATTGTAGGAACTTTGGGTTTCTTGAGAAGATTCCTTGTATTAAAATGCAAGTCAAAAAAAATGTAATTAAAGATGGCAGAGAACAAAGAAATGAGGCTAATGTTAAAAACACATCAGAGCCTGTTGAGATTATGATTCAATTTTAATTTGTCTTCTTGTTAGTTTTAACTTTTTTTCTTAACAGAAGTTTAAAATTGCCACACTCTTTGGGAAGTGAAGTTTGGGTTTTGTTCCTTTGGCTTGTTACATCAGGCCAAGGAGCTTTTGCCTGGGTTGTCCTGGGAGTCCCAACATCCTGTGATGAGCATAACACACACTTCTGTTGTGTAGAAGTCCAGTAGAAGCAACATTCAAGCTAAACTTGCCTGATTCAAATTTTTTTAAAAAACCCAAATCCACAAAAACCCCAAACAAATTGAGTTGGGACAGCAGTGATTCGTTTGCTTTCACCACGTTGCAGTTTGGTAAGAAAATAATAACCCATGCTAGATATGAGTGCTGAACCCATTTTTCTGAACACTAATATACTAATAGGTTTTGTGGGCCTAAATCTGAATTTGCTAATGTGGAATTTACATAAATGGCACTAATTTACATAACACTATTTCAGAAATTCAGTGCCTGACATTGATTTTCTGCCAAGTGGGAGCATTGTGACAGATGGTGGAATTTTCCATCAGCCAGGTGATAACCACTGTAAAGGAGGTATTTGTCTTCCTCTAAGTCCTTGGCTTAAGGAAGGGGCTCAGTTATGCTGCAGAATTGTTATAGTGTGGTTGTTAAAATTGGATTTATCCAATTTGTTTTACATATGGGATAATATGAACACATGATTATGAATGAATCTTAAATAATCAGATTTTCGGCTTTTCCTGTCAATTTTCACCCTTTCATCATTATGTCAATTGACAGGAAAATGTGTGGATAAGCTTTTATCAGGAGTAGCACAGTGACAGTTCAAACATTTGGTGCTATTATGTGCTGTGCAATGAAAATGTAGTATGAAGTATTAGCAGTTTTTCTTGGATCAGGGAATAGTGGGGTAGTAAATTGCTCATGAGTGGTAGGGAGCAAATGCTCTCTGAGGAGATGCTTGGCTTCCACCATTCAGGTTGTGCTGGCTGGAGAACAGGAGCAGATGGCAGCTGGCAACGTAGCAGCAGGTGCAGCAGCAGTAAAAACAGATTGTTGTCCTCTGATTAGGTCATGTAGGTCTTTCCCATTTCTTTTCAGATCTGCTTGAGAACAACTGGGCACTCAGCAGTTCCCCTTTTCATGTGAGGAGTTAGTTCTGGTAGATTTTTCACCCTTAGCAGGAGGGAAGTTCTTTTATGCATATTTTTAAGCATGTAAATATGACAGATCTAATCAAGGCACTTCACTTCCAATATTTTTTGAGACCAGCACAGAAGATGTCTGTGGGTTAATGTGGGTGAGGGCTTTCACTGAAGAACAGAAATCTGAAAGAGCTGTTGGTGAATCAGCTGTTGAACTTTGAGTGCTACAGGAGGATTTTGCCATAATGTGAGAATGTCAGGCTTTGTACATTGGTGTTCTAGGAAGCACTCGAAAATAATTCTCAGAAGAGCCCAATTCATCATTTATCAGAACTGAATAGAAAACCTGCCTATTTACATTTGTAGAAATAAGCTTGAATTCCAGGGAAACAACCTTCACAAAGAATTAAGTGTGCCTCCTGTCATTCTCCAAATGATGATGTGGTGTATGGTGGGACTGGCTTCCTGGCTGTAAACTGTCAGCACAGAAGCAAATTTTTAACTGTTGTGCAGCAAAGAAATCCTGGCTTGACAGTTAAGCTGACTGGAGCTAAAAGTGCAGTAAAAGTGCAGGTCATGTCACTCTGCCACTTCTGCTCCCACTGCTTTAGGCCTGGCCTGCTCCTTCTAGAGCTTCACAGGTACCCAGGAGGAAACACAGCGGGAGGAGGAAGTCAGCAGTGGTAGTCACCACTTAGCTGTACTTTTTATCTTTGCTGGGTTCTCTTACTGTCTGATAACATTTTATGGGGATCTCATTTAACATGCTGTAGAAGGCAAGAGTTCATCTCTTGGAGGTTTTTGTCACCTCAGACTGTGCTGTGGGTGTTGGACATCTGTATCTGTAATACATTACATTTTGAGTTCAGAGGCTTCTGCAAAACCACAGATAGTAGAACCTTCCTGAAATGAAAGTGCTTTGCAGAATCTGAGCATTTCCTGCAGGCCAGACCCAGCCATGGACTCTTTCTTCCTTTCTGCATGGTTAACTCTTGAAAGCCCTCTAACAGCTGAAAGCTTCTGAATGTTTTGAAAAGCCTCTTTAAGTTCTAGGTTATATTTAGTCTTTTTTCAGCACATTATCATGTAGGTAACATTTCTTGGTGTGATGGTGATAGGCACATATCCTGGTGAAAGAGAGGGAGTTTATGGACACCTCTTGTGGAGCTCACCAAATCTTTCTTGCTGTGTTTAAACCTAGAGAAAAGTGTGCTTCAAAACAGAATGGGGAGATTTCTCACTTAGTCTAGACTTAAAAAGATGGTAACATGTGATTGTATTAAAAGCAGAGCAAAACACCTCAATGTACACAAAATTATGGCTCTGCTGTTGTGTCTTCTGCCTTGAGTCTTAGCTGCATTCCTGCAGCAAAGCTGATTGCAGTGGATTCTGGCCCCTGCTGGGAGCTTGGGTGTGATCACATCCTCGGATCTGTTACCTGGGTGTTCTGACGGTGTGGCTAAACATTGCCTTGTCCCTTGATTACCATGTGTTGGGTGTTTGACCATTGACTGAGATATGACATTTGCCAGGTTCATTTGGACTTAGCTTCACCCAAAGTGTCAGGTTCCATACCATCTTCTTCACTACATTTCTCTTGGGGCTTAAAGCTTCTGTTATGCATTCCTGGTCCGTCCAGCAGTGTGGTTGTGATTTCCTTTGCAGCTCTGTGTTCGTTGTGTTTGCAATTAACACCAGCCTGGTCACCTCTGTCTCCCGAAGCTCTGCTCTCTGTCAGTTTTTGATATCTAAAGGACTCTGAAATTCACTAAATACAGTGAGTATCAAACATTTCAGATCTGGGACGGGGCTGAGTACAAGCAGGTGGGAAAGCCACTCTTTTTCTTTCCCTTTTGCTATGTTTGAAGCATAAGTAGTGGGCAACTCAGTTTTCCCAGGATAGGGGATACTCTTGGGTATAGTGACAAGAGAAAGCTTGTCCTGAGACATGCCTGCCTTGGCACGAGCTTTTGCAGGCTCCTTCTGGATTATTCTATGCTGAAAGACTACTTAGTTTGGCTTCCATTTTTCCCCCCCCCATTCTGTGTTCTGGCTGTGACCCAGTCTGGGTTTCCCCCCAGCCATTGATGCTGTCATATCTTGTCACTATTTATGGTTATCAGTATTAAATAAAAGCAGATAAGTAATCGATGATTCCTGAAGTGCTTTTTAGAGGGCTCAGATGAGTAGTGTCAGTTTTGACTTGCTTGTGACACCTGGAGGATGTGCATATGGAATTTGAATACCATGTGGTTGGGGAAAAGAGCTCTATAGTGAAGGAGAGAGTTTCACCAATCAGTAGAGAGTGGGGGCTTAGCAAACTGAGTGTGAAGCAGAAAATCTGCTGTTGGTTCTGTATTTGGTACCAAGAACATGGCCTGCTATTGGTGCTTATCCCTGTGAGTTTAAAACTATTTTGAGTGAGTTTGAACAGTGTTTGAGTATTTAATAACAAGGAAATGTGAGAATCTGCTCTGGTTTGAGCTGAAGATACCTGTAATGTGTAACCTACCTGCAAATACTTTTATTTTTGTAACTTACAGCTCCATGGAAGGTAGGTAGAAGTAGATGGATTTGTCCCTGGGCACGGGTGGTGCTGTTCACTTGACTCGTGGTCTGAATTTAAGTGAGAAATGACTTGCTGAGATTGGTGGAAGCAGGGGAAGAGCAGTTTGTGTTAGTTTGTAGCATAATAATTTTAATATAATGTAATATTCCTGCAGAGTGCTTGACACTCACAGCAAGTAGCGCTGTGCTGCTGATAAAAATAGATTGGACTTATTCTGACCTTCTAAAAATGCCCTTAATACAGTAGCACAGGCTTTGCCTGAGAACATCTGACTTTTAATTCTGATTGTGAAGTCAAGTGAGGTAAGTAGAATTTGGATTGACTGTAAATGTCTTAGCCACTTAGCAAATCCTCTTGAAGAACCTTACTTGCTTGCCACCTGCTTTTTCCTGAGGATATGTGGGATGCTTAGCTACTGGCAGGTTATGAGGTGACCTGTCTTGGCCTTGCAGCCTCTCCCACCTCTGGTTTGGTACCCAGGAATCCTCTCCCTGACACCAAAACTCTGATGACTCTGAAAACACATTGCTTAAACTGCTTACAGGGTAAAACAGTCCTGGTTCATGCTTTCCACTGTGATTAGGTGGCTTATGCAATCAGGATCAGAACAGCCATTTGAAATGCTCGTGGTTTATGGAGCTTTTGTTTTTTTCCCATAGTTTTCAGTTGACCAAAGAAATGGTGATGGAGAAGCCAAGTCCCCTGCTGGTCGGGCGGGAGTTCGTGAGGCAGTACTATACCCTGCTGAACCAAGCACCTGACTATTTGCACAGGTAAAGCTCTGCTTCACTTGGAGCTGGTTTTCTGGGTGAATTTCTTAACTTGTGTGTTAAAATTGGTGAATGATCTTATTACTGTGTCTTAGTTTGCTGAATTTTGTCACTTAAAAAACTGATTTATTCAAGATGCTAAGCATCGTTTACTTTTGGTTTTGTTCAGCTGGGTTAAAAGATGGATAATAAAGATTACAGGAATTCTCTAAATATCTGAGTTCTGGTTCTAGCTGAAATGCTGCTTGCCACTTCTGCTTGTAATCAGTATCAAGTGAAGTTGGAGAAATACCACTTAGTTGAGCATTTCTGTAGTTTTCAGCTTGATAAAATGCCCTCTCACTAGAAGGAAAGATTGAATAAGCTTTGTGCATGTCTGCTGGTCTCTCTTGGGAGTCACACCAGCTCTTTCTTAAAGGAAAGTCATGAAATTGTGGATATGCAGCAGACTATAATCTATTATCTAAACAAATCAGTCCTGTTTGGTGTGACAGGTATCCTTCTGAAACTAGTCCTGTTTATGAAGAGACACTTCATTTTGTTGTGTTTTGATAAAGTTTCTGACAACTTCCCCCCATCCAGTCTCAGGAACAGTTACTCAGAATGTTTCTCCACTTAGGTGAATAGCTGACCTCATCTCTGTGGGTCAGGGGCAGTTGACTCTGTGCCATGGAATCCATTCCAGTCTTTTATCTGCTGGCAGAGTGCAGTGCCATGGTGCTTGGGGTGTTTCAGGTGGTAACCTCTCAGTTCCAGAAAGGAAGATCTACTTGCAATATTTTTTTTACTGTAGGAGAGCAAAACAGTCCCAATTGCTTCTTACTCACGCTTGAAATCAGAACTTGAGAGGGAGCCTTCAGCATCCAGGATGTTCAGGGTGTTGTTTTGGGGACCTCATGCAGAAAGAGGATAATGGGATTGGATCATGAGCTCTCATGAGACTTTGGTTTTGGTTGTTGGTGCCTGGGTCTCTGACACACCTGAATGCTACAGCTTACAGTAGAAAACTTTGATTTCCCCCCACCCTCTGATTAGTAACAGGATTATGAGATTTTGTGGCTTTATTCTGGTGATTCAGACAGGAAACTTACTTAAAAGTGAATTATTTGTACTGCACTCTAATGTAGAGGCTCAATGTTCTTACACAGCAAAGCTTGGCATTAAAATATTTCTTTCCAACAGGTTTTATGGAAAGAACTCTTCCTATGTCCACGGTGGCTTGGATTCCAATGGAAAACCAGCTGACGCAGTCTATGGGCAATCTGTAAGAACTTTTAAATAAGAAAGCTGTTCTTTCCTTCTATTTTGTCACCTTTATGGTTGAGAAGAGAAATGTATCCAGCTGTGATTCACCCCCACACACTGTTCAAGCGCTTCCTGTAAAAAAAAGGAAAAAAAAATGGGGAGGAAAAAACCCTCTTGACTGTAGACAGCAGTAGTTAGGCAAAATGTGCTTCCTTTATAGAAAGCTTATAATGTAAAATTGCTTACAAAGCAGACTTAACAAGCATCCTGCCAATCTCTCTCCCCAGAGTTAGGGAATGTATCTTACCCCAGTTTTTATGATTTTTCTTTCTCTGAAAGCTGCTTACTTAGCAGAAATGGCTTCTGCAGCATAACCCACGTGTACCATTCTTTCCTAGGATATCCACAAGAAGGTGCTGTCACTAAACTTCAAGGATTGCCACACAAAGATCCGTCACGTGGACGCCCACGCCACCCTCAACGACGGCGTGGTGGTGCAGGTGATGGGGGAGCTCTCCAACAACATGCAGCCCGTGCGCAGGTTCATGCAGACCTTCGTGCTCGCTCCTGAGGTGGGTGTGCTGCTGGCACCACTGCTGAGCTCTGGCTGCCTCAGGGCTGTAAGCTCAAGGGTTAGACTAGGAAGGTTGCTTGCCACAAAATTCAGCAGTTACGTTCTGAAAATTCCTTTGGGAATCACACTACTTCTGTGTGATTGTACAATGACCTTGGATATTGAAATCAGTTATAAATATCCTGACTTTGGACTCCTAGGTAGTGCAACACTTTTTTTTTTTTTCTTAAGCATATTAAAATTATATTGTCTTTGATTTACTATTCTAGCAACTGGTCTTTTTACTGAAAAAGGGGTAGTAGAAAGAGGGAAATGCTTCCTGTCACTTTGAAAATATGGGTTCCAGATTTTCTTGTTAATAAAGTGCTGACTTAGCATTTGAAGTGGCATGTTTAAATAGACTTTTTTTAACAAAGCAGTTCACAGAAATGAAAATGATAGTGAAAAAGGAGTGTTGCAAGATCACTCTGTTTGACAATATGACTTGGAGATAAAAATTGATATTTTGAACACCAGGAAGTTGTCAATCACACTTCTTTAGTGTTGTGAACTATTGGAATTAAAAGCACTTCAAAATTTTTTTTTTCTTTGTTCCATCCATACCTAACTTGTTAGGAGTGATGTGTTTTTAGTTTCTCGTTTTCCTGCCCCACATAACATTTTCTTAAAAGAGGCAAATTTGGATTAATCTTGTGGGAAGGACAGTTTGCTTAAACCTTTCTTGTTTTCACATTATTTCAATTTTTCATTACTGGGTTGTTGTAATTGATTCAGTTCTTCCCTTTGATTTGCTCTTAGGGCTCTGTTGCAAACAAGTTCTATGTCCACAACGATATCTTCCGCTACCAGGACGAGGTTTTTGGGGACTCTGATACTGAGCCTCCAGAGGGTAAGCAGCAGAAATTTTTGGATGGTTCTGTTGGTGTTTGGTTGTGGATCTATATCAACATTCTATTCCCAGATTAGATTTCATGTGCTTGTAGGTTTTTTCCTTGCCTGTGGTTCTTTACGGTCCACCAAGGAGTTGTGACATGCAGATGGTTATTTTTCTGGCATAATCTGTTTCTATTACAAGAACTGTAAGACTTATTTTGGCAGTTGCAGTCAGATTTGTAGGTTATAAATCTTGTTCTCTGAAATATTTGGAGCACATTTTTTAACCTTGGTCAAAACTGAATAACCAAAGTGATAGTGGAAATATACAAAAATGTCTGTTTCATGTCACATCTCAAAAGTGCTTCTTGTGTGTTCTTTGGCAGAAACTTCACCTGTATTTTGTGATAAGTGACTTGTGTTTGAGCCTCTTACTAAAGATGTGTGGTTTTTTTTTTTCTTTTCTAACCTTATTTAGAATCAGAGGAGGAAGGGGAGGAACCTGAGGAAAGACAGCAGACACCTGAGGCTGTTCCTGATGATAGTGGTGCTTATTATGAGCAGACTGTCAGGTAATAATATATTTATAGATGAAGTCAGGCATTCTGTGGGACAGACTGCTTGTAGAGCAGGTCACATGAATTTATTGCTATTAATAGTTTTCTTCTGACAGTCAAAAAAATTCTGTTTGTTGATCAGCTGAAATTAAAATGCTGTTAGACTGAACATGGAGACTCTGGATTTTTTGTTTTGCTGCTTCATAGTGTACCAATGCAAAAAGTGCATCCTTGTGCAATGTGGCCTTATTTGGCCTTGTTCTTCCTCTCATGTGTCATGAGCCTGACTTCTGTATTGCATAAGTAGCACTGCTTATCACCAATAATAGAATAAATACAATACCACCTATTTTTCCTCTTTTTTGTGCTGCTGTGTAATAGCAATGACATTGAGGAACACCTGGAAGAGACAGCTGCAGAGGCAGAGCCTGAGCCAGAGGCAGAGCCTGAACAGGAACCTGAACCAGAGGTGCAGGAAGAAAAGTCTGAGCCAGTATTAGAGGAATCTGCTCCAGAAGAGACTGTGGAAAAGAGTCCTTCTCCAGCTCCTGCTGATCCAGCTCCTGCAGTGCAAGAGGACTCCAGGGTAATGACAGTGGATCTCTTTTCTCTGATGTGGTTTCATCAGTGTGGCTCTCCTGTCTATTTACACAGCTTTATTTTTACCTGGGGATTTTTGTCACTTCTCAGTGTTAAGGAAGGTACAGTGGACAGATTTGGGTTCAGGAATCCAATACTTTGGTTAACCTTGATGTGGTACTTGGTGTTTGGTGTTGGGCCACTGCTGTGTCCCGTTTCAACTCTCCATTGTCATTGCACTGAGTCTTTTGAATTTAAATAATTTGAAGGAAATTGTAGGGAAACTGCTATTGGCTGGCTCCTGATTTTCAAGTACAAGTTAAATTTGTTCCTGGTATCCTGTGTCTGTTAGCTGTCCTGTCAGTAATAAATTTCAGATGGAGATGTAGTTAGTTAATATCATTCTCTTTTTTTTTTTTTTTTTTTGAAGACATTTTCTTGGGCATCAGTAACCAGCAAGAACCTTCCTCCCAGTGGGGCTGTCCCAGTATCAGGAATACCACCTCATGTTGTGAAAGTACCGGTCTCACAGGTAGGAATCCAGCATCTGGAGAAGTTTAAGTGCTAAACTGGCTGACAGGGGAAAAAGAGTGAAATCTGCTTGCTTCTGATTTGACTTCCCAGGCCCCAAAGACTTTAGCATTCTGTGATTCCTGGTAGGCTTTATGAAGATGTTATTCCTTGCTTTTTGGGTTGAGAATTAATTGTTTCTCATGGAGGAAAACAGGGAACGTTCATGGGAATGCTGCTTGCTTTAAGCATATAAGCCAACATGTATTTTAGTCACAGGTGGAAGAAACTATTACCTTTTCCTGTATTTTTTTATTACCAACTTGATAGTGAGCTCTTAAAAGCTGAACCTGCTGGTATGTCTGACTCTAAACTGTTCACTCCTTTTTGAATTTGTGCAGCCCCGCCCTGAGGCGAAGCCTGAATCCCAGACTCCCCCTCAGAGACCTCAGAGGGATCAGCGAGTGAGGGAGCAGCGAACGAGCATCCCACCTCAGCGGGGTCCTAGGCCAAGTAAGGGAAGCTGGTTTCTGTTGCTTAAAGGTTTTGGAGAAGCAATGTGTTAATTGAAGGTTTTGAAATATCATTATTTTTGTCAGTAAGCACACGATTTTTACTCAAGTAAAAATTCAAGCTTGGCCTCAGCCAGGTGATTAAAAAGCAAATCATTACACACTTGTTAGCGTAGACTACTTTCCTTTTTTTTTATATGAATGGATAGTCAGTGTGAATTGATTCTTTCTAATGGTGATGATTCTGACCATGGCTTGTTTTTCTGTTTGTTCTTGTTCCATTTGTTTTTTCTGTTTGTTGGCTTTTCTAAAATCAGTTTTGCTTTTCTGTTCAAGTTCGCGAGGGTGAACAAGGCGATGTGGAAACCAGGCGGATTGTGAGATACCCAGACAGTCATCAGCTGTTTGTTGGGAACCTTCCCCACGATGTGGATAAATCTGAACTTAAAGACTTTTTCCAAAGTAAGTTGGTTTCTTTGCTGCCCTCTGAGGGGGTGGGGGTTGCAGCCATGGGCGTGGCCAACAGAGTATTCTAATGTATGACCCAAGAACTTGGCTTTTCTCTTGCAGGCTATGGCAATGTTGTTGAACTCCGCATCAACAGTGGTGGAAAGCTCCCTAATTTTGGGTTTGTGGTGTTTGATGATCCTGAGCCTGTTCAGAAGATCCTTAGCAACAGGGTAAATAAATTTCCAGGCAGTGGTTTTCGGTCTGTTGACAACAGACAGTGTTTTTCAGCTTAACAGGAAGAGGATGTACTTGATACCTTTAGATTTTTTTGAGCATATTAAAGTAGATGTGATGTTTTTCCCTCCCGTTACCAAGATTTGTGCAGTCTTTGTCATTGAACTAGCTTTGTCAATGAAGGAGGTCATTACAGAGCCTTTTCTAGTGGGAGATTGCTGAGCACAGGAAGTGTATAAACAGCTTTTAGGAGGACAAGGTAGAGAGAGTCTTGATTCTATAGACAAGTAGAATCTTGTTTGTCAGAGGCTGAAAGGAAGAAGCTGTATTGGTGTGCGTGCTGAAAAGGAATTCTGCTAACAAAGGCAGGAGGTACCTGCTCAGCCTGTCAGCAGTGATTGCTAATGCAGAATGTGTGTCCATGCCTGCCTGCTGTGGTAGGCAGGGACTCTGGATGTACCCTCATAGCCGTGCAGGGAGCTTTTCTGAAACCCATCAGAATGTTCTGTGTTCAGCCTGAGATGGCTTTTCAAGGCTCCCTCCTTCACATCTTTATTTTTTCTACTAAAGCCCCAAGACTGGATGCATGGTTTTGCTATTGCCATTGTTTAGTAGGTAATCCTAAGACCCTTCAGTCTTTCATGGAGAGGAGGATATGAGACCAAGTTGCAGGAATCTGCTTGACTTTGAAGAGCTCCTGGTGACCCATTAATGACAGCACCTTCTGTGCTTCTGTTGCAGCCCATCATGTTCAGGGGAGAGGTGCGCCTGAACGTGGAGGAGAAGAAAACACGAGCTGCCAGGGAGGGTGACCGCAGAGATAACAGACCCCGTGGACCTGGAGGCACTCGTGGGGGGCTGGGAGGTGGGATTCGAGGGCCTCCTCGTGGAGGCATGTCCCAGAAGCCAGGATTTGGAGCTGGAAGGGGGATCGGGCAACGCCAGTGAATTCATCGCGGATGTTGACGTGATGGCGCAAACCCTTTTTCCTGCAGATTTGTGAATTTCAGCCTTGGGTATCTTGGAATGTGGCCCTAGCCTGTTATAGACTGCTACGTTTGATACTATTTTGGCCCCTTTTTGTTTGTGTTATGGTTCTGTGATTTATTTTTTTCTAGTCCTTGTCCCAGATTCCAGCTTTGTGGAACAACGTTTTAGGAAAAGTGGATTTTAAAAAGAAAAGAACTGAATTTTCTTCTTCACCTCAAACTTACGGACTGATTTTTGGTTTTTTTGGTACCAGTGGTTTTTCCTAAGGAATGTCTTTCTTTTTTTCTTTTATGTTTTTTTCCTCCCCTCTTTCTAATGAATTTGGGTGCAGTCAGCGGAATAATATTTCACGTGCATGCATTCAAGAGCCTGTAGGAAAACATAGTTCTTGGCAAGTATTCCAAGGGCAGAAAAGCAAAACTCTTGGTGTTTCTTTGAGGGTCATATGAACATCCTCCGGTCTGGAGACATTGCCACTTGAAAAAATTGACTTTCACCTTTCTGTGGCGCTGTAAAAGTGGAATAATGGGTATCCGTAGAATCTCTTTTCCTTTTGATACATGATCACAGCAAGGAATTCGAACTACTGTTTTACCACTTTGAAATTTTGGATTGTGGGATAGGTTTTAAATGTCTAGAACTTGACTCTTCAAACACTTTTCCTGAACTTGTGAAATTTTTTATTGAAATAGGGAGTTTTTTTCATGTTTAGTTTGTATTTGTATAAAAAAAAAGCAAAATTGTTGTGCCTTCTATTTATCTCTCATTCCAGTTTTGGCAAATTGTTTAAAAAAAAATAAAATAAAAAAGGTCTAGATTTGCTTTATCAAGTCAAGAGTATTTTGGAGTTTGTCCAAGGGGAAGAGGCTCTTCAGTCACTAGGTTTACATGGTAGAGGTGGTTGTAGCTAAAGCTCTTAATACCTTCTGTGCATCACTTTGCATTTAAATTATTGAAAACAAATACTTCTTGGATGCAGAAGTTAATAACTTGAACTTGAAGCTGGGCAGGTCCTGTTGTAACTATTGCAAAATTACAAGCAAAGCAGAAATACCTCTGTCACATCCTTTACATTTCCAACTGCTGTAAGTAATAATTATTTTTGCAGTACTTCATTCCTTGCTTCAGACCTGAAGTGGATAAGAAGGAATTTTTGTCAGAAGTATGGAAGGTGCTTGTCTGTCCTGGTGTTAAGATGTTGAACACTCTCCACTGCCTCTGGAAGAAGATGAAACTGAAAATAAAATACAAAACTGGGTAATTTCAGACCAAGAGATCCTGTAAGATGGTGCTGCACAAAGCAGTATTTCTGTAATGGCTGGTGTTAAACATCTGGATAAAAATGGTGGATTTGTGTTTCCACTGGACCTCCAGGTCTCTTGGTAGCACAGTAGAGCTGTGTAGGAAGTTGGCTAATCTGTGTCAGGTGTCAGTGTTTCCATGTTTCTTGGTTTATGACTATAATGACTGTGCATATGCAGTGTATCATCTCTTGACCTGTGCTTGCTGTAAGCTCTGGAGCAGAGCTGCCCTCAGTATTACCTGTCCCCAGCAGTCATGTTTTGCCTTTTCCTTGCCAGACTTACTGGTTGAAGCTGGTTGTACTAAATGTTGCTGAAGTGTTGGTTTCTGTTTTATTTTTCTCTTTGCATTTGTTACACTGTTTGTCCCTTCCCTCCTTACACCTGTGTCAGATTGGCCTGCCTGCCATCTGTACCTGGAGATGTGATACCTTAGTGAGCTGGGGGAGTGTGAGCTGTGCTGTGCTCTCACAGCCAGCATTTGAGGAAATTCTGCTGCTTCCTCTTGTGGTGGTAACTGGTATTTTTTTGAAAAACAAAAGCTGTCTGCATTTTTCCTATCAGGAATGCCTGTGAGGTGAAAGTATGCAATGGAGATCTTTTACTGAACCCTGTCCTTGTTGTTTGTGATATGTTTTTTTCCCCCTTTTTTGGGTTTCTGCTGTTCTTGACGTTGAATCCGAAGACTGCAGTAACAGGTTGCACTTCAGACTTATCAAAGTGCTTTTAACAGAAGCTTTTATAGCTCTTAACCAAATCTGCAAAAGCATCCATAAGCTTGAACCCCCATTTCTGTAGTGGGAGCTGGACAGTTGGCTCATTGCTGTCTGATTTGAAAGAAGAGTGTCAGTAAAGAATTTTAAAGGGTGAAGTGTGTGCTTGTTCTCATATGAATCATACTCAATATGTTGACCCAGAAAGTCATGTTCTTGTCCCAGGATGACAGGCAAATAAAATATTTACATAAAATTCTGTGGGAATGTCTTGTAAAGAAACACTTTCAAAAAGAAAGTTATGTTACAGAATGACTCTTGGTATTTGCATTTTGGTGGCTCTGGTACTCACTAGTAACAAAGTCCTCTGAAGAGACTTGCTGTAAGATGTTGCACATTGATTTTGATGTTTAGGCTTTATGTAGCCTCCAGCCCTTCTGGTTTCTGCCTTGCTGTACTGTTAAAACCTCAGTATCTCTTGTCTAAGGCCTCCAGTCCTTTCCATACATTCTTGAGGATGACTATGAAGAAACCACGATTTGATTTGCCTCAGTGGGCTGCATGAGCTCCAAGGAGACTAATAATTACCAAGGTAGTCCAGCTCTTTCTAGGAACCAAATACTGCAGTCTGAAATGCATCAGGCTGTTGGTGTCTCCTTTCTAGTACCTCCAGTCAAGACAAGGAGGTGGTGGCACTGAAGTGCTCTTGGTGTCCCAGTGCTCTGCAGGGAGTTGGCAACTGAAGAAGAGCTGTCTAGAGCCATAAGACTTCTGCACCCATCACAGCCTCATGGACAGATCTGGAATAACCTTCATGGTCAAGATACCTTGATCTGCCCTTCTGAGAGTACAGAGTGTTTCATGTATGACTGGTGTGATCTGGCCTCTTCTGCCTGATCTTAATAGGTTAAGACAAGTAGAAATGAGGACATTTCACTTGCAGGGGTGTTTCATGGCACCCAGACCAGAACTGGAAGCCATGAACTGCCCTTGCTGCCTTCCTTCCAAGAGCGTTGCACAATTAAGAATTTAGGTTACCCCTTGAGCACATCTGCAGTACTGGGATGCACCAGCAGACTTGTGTGGGGCTGTTTTGTGAAGCTGAACTGAGATCTGTGTGTTTGGGCATGCAGATGTTGGTTCTGCATTTCAGGATTCAGACTGGGATCACTTCCTTGCTCTGCAGGGCCCTTTTTTTTTTTCTTATTTTTCTTTAAATTTGCTCAGACTGAAGCTCTGGTGTTGCTGGGTGCCCACCATACAGGTGAGTGTGCAAGTGGTGAGCTTGGCAGAGAGGATTTACTCTGGAGGTAGACAACAGCCTGTGTGGTAACAGAGCTGACTTCAATCTGAGCAACTTCCCTGTGGTGCCACAGGGCAGAGATGCCCTGAGACCTGGGAGTTCACTGTGCATGGTGAAAAGGATGATTCTGCATGCAGGTAGGAGGATCCAGAGTTGATCTCTGCAGCTGCTTATTCTGCACATCCTAGAAGGGCATATTTTTAAACTGTTTTTGCTCTGTTATAAGGGCTTTTTTTTGGGACAGGAGCACGCACTGTAAAGTTGTAAGCTGTGTATGCTGTGGGAAGAAGGAATTCCCTCACTGATTTTGTTTCCCAACACTAAGACCATTATCCTTATTTGAGTGTTATATGGAAGAATGAGGAAAGTTGGTCCATTAAAAACTTTTGGTTATGACACATGAAACTGAATAAAATTCTTTTAAATTCCATCATCACTTATAGTTTTTAGAGTAATGGCACATTCTCAGAATAAATTTGAAGGGCAGGATGCTGCCTTTCTATTTCCTGTCACAAAATGCCATTTGCCAAGCCAAGAGGGACCTGCTGTTCCACTGGTGATATTTCAAACTTGACAAAGCACCTGACAGTGGAAGGAAAAACACTTTATTGTGACCATCTTTGTGATTCAGTGTGAGTCCTGCATTCTGAAATGTCGTTTTGGGTGTTTGCACCAAGGTCACTCCATCTACTGAGGAATTTTAAAGCTATATATAAATAATGTCTTAGCTTGCAAAATAGTACAAGAAATACATTTTTCTTTGTGTTTCCAGCTGCTGTGTGGAGCAACCAGCAGTACAAAATCCACGGAGAGAAATTTCAGAAAAATCTTTAATTTTTTTTTATTGGAATCAGCATGAATGTATGATTCAATAAATATATTTTATATACATTTAACAGCAGAAACTTTACATTCCATCTTCAAACTGCTGAAATAGAACTTCTGTTTTAAAATTTTTTTTACAAGCCAGAAAAATAATTTGCCACTGTGGCTGTGTCGTCATGCAAATTGTCTAAGTTACAGGTTTATGTCTTGATGTAAAAATACTGATTTGAAGGAAGCAATTGCTTTGCACTCTGACCCATGTAGCAAAATATCCTTAAATGGAGTGTAAGGCCATACCCATTTTGTGTATGTATAGATTTATACATATGTATATATTGTAAATTCATACAGAAAATACAGGGACATCGCTTTTTAAGGGGGGTAGGGAGAGATATGTAAGTACTTAATGATTAGGCTGATTTATTAATTTTGAAAAATTTTATGTCTTACATTTTAAACACAACTGCACTTTGTGTTTTGTATTTCTCACCTGCCTCCTTTGTTCTTGAGAGGAGAGTAGCGTGAAAATTGAAAAGCACTGACTTTTCCATTCTTTTTTCAGCTTGTCTAAATGAACCAGTAGAGGTACTCAGAGAGCACTTGCATTGCCCACTTCTTTCCTCCTTCTTACATTAACTCCAGGGATTCTTAGTCTGGATATTTTTCTGATTATCTCCTGTGAGATGTGGATATTTCAGCACCCACCTTGTAAAGAAGAAAGTGAAAACAGCTGCATATGCAGCCCTTTCATTATTGTAAAGATGCTCATGTGAAGTTAAAGGGAGATGAGTTTTGTCCTGTTAAGAGCAGCTGCTCCTTTTTCCTTTGCTGAAAATTGATCAGACTGGGTCACTTTTTTGTCACTGCTTCTGAGATCTTGGTAAAATTGGAGAAAGAAAACACTCTGACCTTGTTGCCATCCTTTCCTGTTGATGAACAATGTTGGGAAAACATCCTTTTTGTTTTGTTTTGGTTTTTTTCAGCAAGCACATGAAACCCCACATAAATAGCTCCAATCTGGATTCAGTACTTACAGAAGAACACTGATATAGTGTTCTATATGTGGTGGAGCTGTGTGTCAAGAGGCTCTGTCCTCTGGCCAAGGTTTGGGGCTGTGTTCAACCCCACATTCTAACCCTGAGGTGGCTGGCATTGCCCTCCCTGGGGACAGGGAGTGCTGGCAGAGGGATGGGACACCCTGGAACATCCCCACTGCTGCTGCTGAACCAGCCCAGCCTCTGTAAACAGCACCAAGGCGCTGTTGTGTTTGGGAACAAATGAGCTTTAGTAAGCCAAATTTTGGAAACAAAGATTTTCTTCATACAAATGGCTTGCAGATGGGAGAGATACAGAAAATGGGGCAGTACAATGCCACTGCTTAATAGGCTTTTTTTTCTGAGGTTTTTGAGAGGTGTTCTTCCTAGATACCAGATTTTGAGGGTTTGACTAGTGAAATAAATGCTGTGGGAAACTGAGATAATGTTTATCAAGAACAGAAGGAAAATGCTGCCTAGGTGCTGAACTGTTCCCACTTCTATTTGTTTTGCATATTTTCAATTGGAAAGTATTCCTGCTGTGTGTGTTTGTATCTCCCCTCCAAAGCAAAACCAAATGTGCAATGGTTGTCCTGAAGAGAAATATCTTAATATTTTTATTTTTCTTCTAAATTCATTTACAAAACAATGTAAATGGGTGTGCGTTTATAGTTGGATGGGAGAAATTTGTGGGTCCTCCCCCCTTTTTTTTATGTCACTTAAGTGTAGGTTTTTCATTACTCCTTAGCTGTAATTTAACAAGCATGATATGCTGTACACTGTGGTAGAAGGTGAGAGACAACACAGTCCATAAAATGTCACTGTCCACGATGTTTAGCCTGCTCATGGTGGTGGTTTGATCTCAGGTGGGTGGTGACAAACTGGGACAGGCTTGTGCATCTTCAGGGTTCCAAGGCTGCTTCCAGAGTGGTGTCACCAGTGCTGCAGGATGGCAAACTGCGATGGAGTGCAGTGACCTTTGCGTGTCAGGCCATTTTTAGGTGAAGTCCTCTGTGTGTTGCTTTGTCTCTACTTCTCTCTTAATCCACTGAAGTGTTGCTGTATCTCACACACACAAGTATGAATGGCTTTTAGCACAGTTACCTCCCATTTCAGTTCTTAAGAAACAGTCAAACCTTTGCTGCAGCTTGGTAAGTCCACGAAAGAAGAGGTGAGTTCTGGCCATGATTAGTGCTGTCAGTGTGTCATGGCCAGACTTGGGAGCCACACAGACTTCTCCATTTGTGTAGGAATTCCATTTCACAGTAGGCTTGAGATGCTCCAGGTGGTGCATTTTTCGGGATCATTCATTCCACATGCATGTGGTGAGGTTAGTCCCTTGGCCTTTGTGCCTCAGGTACCTCTGGAGCTGCTGGTGTCCCCTGACCCCCTGCCCTGGTCACAGGGAGCACCGGGCTGGTTGTACAGTGACAAGGAGCTCAGAGGCA